CAGCCTTGCACCCTGTACTTCCTGACAAACCTGTACTGGATAACTGGTTTTGGAAGATTGATAGTGCAGCCACTGGCTTCTTTGGAGTTGTTCTTTGGCCACACAGAGTGAGGTGTGTTCCATTTGTCTGAAGTGGACAGGGCCTTTGTATTGATTGGCATACAAGAAGTGGACTCCATTAAATTCTGGCTTCCATGACACACCTATATGGGAGCTGTATCATGTATGCAAAATAAAATAAGTAACTATTTTTCCTATATTGCTTTTATCATTGTTCATATGAGGGTTTCTCAAATGGGTTTAATTGGATCAACAGTGATGCCAGATGAACGTTAGCTTTCTGGATGGTGGGTAGTGATCAGTCCTCTAATTGGTGGATGCCACATTGCCATATGATTGGCTCAGCTCTGAGGGTGAGCCATCCTCATTGGCCTCTTAGTGGGGCTGGTCCATCACATTCTAGAAGCTCTTCCCAGCCTACTGCAGCTGGAGTGTCACACTGGCAATGGAGATGGGAGGTGGGCTGAGTTTGGCTCAGTCGAACATCTACCGTTCAGCTTGTTTGTAGAAGATTCATTACGGACCTTAGTTTGATTACCTGTTACAAGTATTCTGATATTCTGATTTTGGATACATGGAGGAACACACAGCTTTGACGCAGTGTTGTCATGTCTAACACGGTTGTCAATTCTCACGCTTTCAGAGTCTCGTGCTCATGCAAGAAATCTTATGGCAAATCTATATTATTCCATTATAAACCTAAAATTAGCTACATCACGTGCTGGGGTAGTTTGAACTATTTTCCAGGTAATAAAACTGTTAAATACATGTAAATGCGTGTGCATGTGTGTGCAGACGTGTCTCGAATTGAAAATCTCACTCCAGCTAGCTGACCAAAGTTGGCAGCCCTGCTTCTAAGCTAAAGGCTCCTTACCAGCCTGCAGAGGAAAGAAAACAAAAACACTCATTATCCCTGGTAACATTAGGGAAAAAAGAACCCTATAATCAAAAATGTGCTTAAATCATTTCTGAAAAAAAACAACAATAAAATTGAATTATGAAAAATTCCTGGAGGGAATGATCTGATTCATGTAAAGTCAGCCACAAGCAGGCTTTATAAGCTAACATTATGTCACGTTTCCCCACAGTTTATTTGACTGAACATTAAAATAAAATGAACATTGAGTGCTGTTTTACCAGCCACAGTTGAGTTTATTCTTTGTCGAAAGTTAGGCTCTAGGCAAACATTAACAACTATTTTAGCTACCATGGCCATCATTAGTTTGGTCTTTAGCATGCTACTCACGCCAACACCTCAGAAAATATTAGTATCCTCTCATGTACTCAATACTGAATGCAAAAATCAAAAATATGCAATAAAGGAGAGGCATTGATGGCTCCATAGAGAAAGATCTGATTCTTTGTCCTCTAGATGATAAACCTCCTGCTTTTTATTGGGCAGCTTTAATCAATTATCACTCGTGGAGTGAACACACATGAACTGCCAAAGCAGTAATTACACTAGATATTTCTGTTGTTTTCTGATTAAATGAAAACACAGACTTTTTTTTTATTAAATGAGTTGTTTTGCATGTTGCAGTTTTTAGCTGTTAAATGAATTGCGTCAAGTTTCTAAAGAGTAAAAAGTGTCTGAGAGGTGTAGAGTTCATTGTAAATACAGGGTTTTCTGAACGATTACTGAAAAGAATTTAACACCACAAGTTTTTACACCAACTCTATGAAAACAGTGAAAATTAAACCGATTAGACTCAAAATAGAGTAAAATTAACTTCAGTCAGAGCTAGATTGACTCTCTACTTGTAAATCTTTCACAAATATCAAAACTGCTGCTGAATTTGCTGTCTATTTAAGATAAAATACACTTTATTTATCCTGGGAGAAAATTCTTTGTTCCTTTCAATTTGTCCTTAATGATACCAATATCCTGTTGCATTAGCACATGTTACATATTTAAAAAACTGTCAAAACAAACTGGGATTTGCAAACTACAGCCTCAAGTTTTTAGGGAAGGTAGTTGTCCCAGTTATGAAAAAATAAAATTGGTAAGAAGAAACTACCTGTTGATATCTGAAATGTAAACTTTGACAGTGTTTCACCGGTGAACTATGCAGTTGGTGAATTTGATGTGCTCCCATGGCCAGGTGCTGTACTGAATGAAGGAGCAGAACAGGAAGAGCATACCCGTGCGTGCCCAACCCGCCGACCCCACCTCTGCCCCCCAAATAGGAACGCAGAGGATCCCTGGCTGCTGTTAAATCCTGCCGGGGTTTTCCACCCCCTTAATCCTCACTCACTAAACCCGTCGGACATATGCTGCTATTGATTCATTAAGCTCTCTGCATTTCCATCAGTTGCTGTAAGTGACCAAGGATTTTGATAAGCCAGATGCTGCTGCTGTGTGGGTCTTTGGTTAGGACACTAGCTGCAGACAGGGCAGTGTGTGTGTATGTGTGTGTGTGTGTGTGTGTGGTCCAGGTATACCTTACCTTGTGGGGACCAGGAAAACTCAGTTTAATGTGACTGCAATGAAAACACTAAAAATGCAGAAACTCTTGTATTTTTCTTGGTTACTTATGGTTATAGTTAGGGCTGGGTAGGGGATAAGGTTGTTACAGTTAGCGTTAGCATTTTTCCCATAGAAATGAATGAGATATGTTTACCTGACGTGTGTGTGTGTGTGTGTGTGTGATTGGCCCACTTTGAGACGCTGCTGCATGTGAATGGCAGACTTCACGCAGGCTGCTGCACGGTGCAGCTGCAGCTCGAGCAGGCAGTGGGGTCCCCTGTGGCTGGATATCTGCAGTGTCCTGGGCTGCACGCTTCCTTCTTGCGGGGTGTGTCTGACCCCAGAATGAAGCATTAAGAGGAGCACGGGGAGTGCTGCATGCGGTTTGCACCCGCAAATTGTTCCCTGGTAGTGAGGCTTTTTGGTTTTATGGTTTTCATTAGTTGTTAGTCTTGAGGCTGAATGGAGTTCTAAGCCCCTACGAGGTCCTGATGTCCAGGTGACGTCACAGGCTTACTAAGGAGCAGCATGCCTGACCTCTACACGCTAACACGTGTCTCTCATAGACTTATTTCACTTTATCATATTCTGTGTGCAGAGGTTCATTTTTGATTTTGGTTGGGTGGGGAGAGGGGGTCTCTATTTAGACGGCGTCTGGACCAGAGAGCATGATGTATGATTTCATTAAGCCGTGTGTCTCTCTCTACTCGGCCCAAATCCAAAATATGGAGGAGGAGGAGAAGACAGGTTTTCCTTGACCAAATTAAACACAATCTTTTTTTCCTCTTCTTTTTGGGGAGGAGAGCTGTGTCGTAAGAGCAGCCTATCGATCATCTGCTCGCAGCGTCGGCACTGTTGCTGCTCAGCGTGGTGTAGATGGAGCGAGCGCGCTGCGCCTGCCTGCCTCACCTGCCCAGAAAGTGACCCCCTACCCCCCTGTCGCAGTCGTTGCTGAGCTGCTCCAGTCCCCAGTCTCTCTGCTCTTCTCCCCCCTCTGCTCTGCTCTTCCTGACCCAGATGAGGAGCTCATATGCGCCTGTTTACTTTTAAATGGTATGTGATAAAGACCCCCCCCCCCCTCATTCCCAAGCCCCATCTGGATCAGGAGGTGTTTGGACTGCCTGCTATATTTTAGCATCAGCTCCTTGTTAAGGAGTCCAGGGTCTATGTGGGGGGTGTAGAGGTGACAGGCACCATGCCACATCTGTTCACCCCCCCACTCCCCTATTTCTCTTTCTGTACAAAGTCTCTGCATCTGGCGGGGGAGGAGGGGGAATTTTTGCCCCAGATTCTCACTGCCCCCTTATATGTAATTACTCACCATGGAATGGCTGTTTAGTGTTCTCATTCAGGGATTAAATTAATGCCCCCCCCCCAACATGATTTAAAAGTGGCCTGTAGTTGTAGCTTGATACTGTAATACTAGTTTTATAGTTCAGTATAATGTTATGTTTCAGATTTAGCTGTACAGGGAATATTGACACAGAGCCCATATATCAGCGTGTGTCTGTGTCTGTATGTGTGTGTTTGCACGTGCGTACCTTCATGTGAATGCACACGTGTGTGTGTGTGAGCGCGTGCACTGATTTATGGCCACAATGCAGGATGTGCCTCCATACAATTTATTCACAGTTGCCCCAAACCACTTAACAAAGACTTACCAAAATGTTACAAGTTTATTGAAATCAAATTAACAGCAGCAGACACAACAGTGGTTATTGTTAAACAATATTGAATTTGCTGTGCGATGAAGGCCAGAATACAATGGAGGAGAGGGAACAGGAATCCACCCCAAACCCCCAGAGCCTTCTGCGAAAAAATGGATGTATAAAGATGAAATGATGTCCACGTGATTCATATGATTCATGCGTGGAGCTATCAGAAGCGGCCGGCCTGCTGTGTGAGCTGTGTGATAAATGTCTGGCCGTGTGGTGGTGCATACTGGGCTGGACCCAGCAGAGACTGTCTTGGACCAGCTGTTTGGTCTGTGTCCCGCAGATATACAGGTAGGGGGGTGAGCACACCTCTCCATGGGGACTCGCCACCCCCTCCCCTCTCCATGGGGACTCGCCACCCCCTCCCCTCTCCGTGGGGACTCGCCACCCCCTCCCCTCTCCATGGGGACTCGCCACGCCCTCCCCTCTCCGTGGGGACTCGCCACGCCCTCCCCTCTCCATGGGGACCTGCCACGCCCTCCCCTCTCCATGGGGACTCGCCACCCCCTCCCCTCTCCGTGGGGACTCGCCACCCCCTCCCCTCTCTGTGGGGACTCGCCACCCCCTCCCCTCTCCATGGGGACTCGCCACCCCCTCCCCTCTCCATGGGGACCTGCCACGCCCTCTCACAAGGCGTCCCCGCCTGTCTACCTCAGTGCCCGTCCTTAAATCGGTGTGATTCTCTCCTTTTAGGTGGCAGCACTACCAGCCCGTACGCACGGCCACCTGACCCCCCCCCCCCTTGTTTTTGTACACAGGTGAGCCGCGTGCCGGTGGAGAGCTGTGAGCAGTACAGCAGCTGTGCGGAGTGCCTGGGCTCCCGCGACCCCCACTGCGGCTGGTGTGTCCTTCACAATGTGTGAGTAAAGGCCTTTCACCGCGCTTCCTGGTTGGCGTGAGACTGCCGCACTCAGCTGGGACGTAGCAGCACTTGGCTGGTGGGACCGGCCCGTGTTCTCGGAGACACCCTACATGATCAGGCACTTACAAAAAACTGGCGTTTAAGATGGTGCCACCCTTACAGTATATCCACAAGTTATCGTGCAACTAGACACCTTTCCTGTCTGAAGTGTTGGTAGTGCGTGGCTCTGTCGGTTAGGGCCTAGTGATCGAAAGGGCAGGAGTGCAAATCCCATGGCAGGCAGCATGATTTTGCCATTGGGCCCTTGAGCAAGGTTCCTAATCCCGGTTGCTACGTGACTGTCTGACCCTGCTTTCTCAGTTGTACGTTGCTTAAAATAAAAGTGTAAATGCCTTTTTCCCTACTGTGATTCGCTCAGTACAGACAGGACATCTTGAGTGTGATTGGGCGATGGTCTTGAGGTGCAGGTCCTGTGTTTCTGCTCATGGCCCAATCTGCCAGCACAGAAATTACAATTATAAGCAGTTGCGGAAATAAACTAGCTAGACTATGTATGTAGTATGTAACTGTATCGGACTTTATTTTAATTGTTGGTGTAAAAAGGCAAGGGTGTCATCAGGGTTGACTGTAGCTGGTCTGACTCCCAGATGTCTGACCTTCTCTCACTGTGAAGTGTTCATTACCAGCTCAATACATCCACCGTTTATGAAGCAGAATGGCCGAAGTGTGAGTTTTTTTTTTTTGTATGTGTGTGTATGTGTGTGTTTGCATACAGCACACTATGGTATTTTAAAGCCAACTGTAATGTAACATATTATGTGAATTCCCTCCCTTTGTCATATTTTAGTTCATGCTGCTTTAAATTTCTGAATTTTTCAACTCAAACATCTAATTCTGTGACCCGATTGGCAATTTTGGTTGGTTTTGTTTTTCCTTTAAGGAACAAAAAAACACCACCATGATGAAGGGCTGTGACGTGGTCTGGCGTGGTGATGAATGAGGAGATGATCTCTGAGTGCTGCAGGGCCCTTTTGCTGACTCGCTAACCTCGGCCAGCCAGCCAGCCAGCGTTTCCTTTTCCCAGTGTTTTGCACCAGATCAGAAATAAAGCCTGCTCAGCAGATCTTTAAACCCGTAAAAAAGCTTATTTATTAGGCTCATTTAGGAGGCGGTCTCGGCATTACGGGGCTTCCGCTGGGCTTGCGCACTCAGGCGTCCTCTGACCACCTTGCCTCCCCCCCCCCCACAGCTGCTCCCGGAAGGACCGCTGCGAGCGGGCCGAGCAGCCGCAGCGCTTCGCCTCGGACCTGCGCCAGTGCGTACAGCTCAGTGTGCAGCCCAGGAACATCTCCGTCACCATGTCGGAGGTGCAGGTGCGTCCCTCTACGTCGTCCTCCGCCTGAGTCTGTGCGTGCGCCTCCCACTGCTGCGCTCATCTCTTTAATGACTGACACCCCCCCCCCCCACCCCTCCCCATTCCCAGCTAGTGCTGCAGGCCCGTAACGTTCCAGACCTGTCGCTGGGAGTCAACTGCTCCTTTGAGGACTACACGGAGACAGAGGGCCGCATTGAGGCGGGGCACATTTACTGCCGCTCCCCCTCGGCCCGTGATGTCATCCCCATCACACGTGGTCAGGGTGAGCTCCTATCTCCTCCTTCTCCTTCACCTCCTCATCCTGCAGCTCCTGCCATTTTGACCTGATCCAGTGACCCAGCTCTTGTACTGCCTTTCTTTTCCTCTGTGCACTGACTACCAGCCCCACTCCCCCCCCCCCACAGGAGTGTGGGGGCCGCATGAGCTCCGCTGGCCCTGCTGGGGGCGGCTTAGGGTCTCGCTTTATCAACCAGAGGCTGCTTGGCTGCTTCTCAGTGCGGCTGATATGTGTTGTGAAAAGACTCACATTCAGGTCGATTCAGTTAAAGTTCTCCATTAGATAAGTTTTCTATTTCCACTGAATGCAATTGATAATCATGTGGGGAGGTCCTGAATAAGCTGCCCTATGCATTAGTTTATTAGTTTTTCATATGTATTTATGATCCCTCTCTCAAACATGCGGTATGTTCATTGTTTGGTGTGTCGTGTGACCACTTCAAAGCAATACAAAAAATGTGATTTTTTTTATGGGTAATGTACATATTGCGTGGTTAAACAGTACTTGATTTTTTTTAAACCTAGCATGTAAATGAAATTTCAAAGTGCATCGAAATGGCTTATCACTACAAGAGATATTCTTGCTAATTCCCCATGAAAATGCATAAAAATGTCAAGTTATTCATGGATTGCTTCTTACACACCTCGCAGTCTAGCTAGTAAGTGAGGATCTGGCAGCAGTACAGTAAGCGAAATTAGTCAAAATACAGAAAAATACAAAAGGACGAGACAGAAATCAAGGCATGGAGGAATATCTCATCCACTCGAGAAATTAATGTCTCGTCAGAACTACTAATGAAAATTANAAACCTAGCATGTAAATGAAATTTCAAAGTGCATCGAAATGGCTTATCACTACAAGAGATATTCTTGCTAATTCCCCATGAAAATGCATAAAAATATCAAGTTATTCATGGATTGCTTCTTACATATCTTACGTCCAGCAGAGTCTAGCCAGTAAGTGAAGTTTTGGCAACAGTGTGGTAAGCAAAGTAAGTCAAAAATACAAAAGGACGAGACAGAAATCAAGGCATGGAGGAATATCTCATCCACTCGAGAAATTAATGTCTCGTCAGAACTACTAATGAAAATTAACATGAAAGCAGGATTTTTAGCGCAAAACTGACCTTTGATTGAACCATTCATTAAATTTTGGTACATTAAGAAAAAACGTTAACATTGAAGGAGGTGGAGCTGCGCTCCGGCAAGGTGCCATTTGGACGTGCGGAGGTGGAGCCTCGCTCTACTGCTCACAGTCTATATTTAAACCCCGGTTATATGTTACCTTAATTGAATTTCCTTCCAGCATAATTCCTGGTGCTGAGATCCCAAGACGGTGTGTTATTTCACAGTGTCTCTGCATTTCAAAGTGTGGCATTAGACATGTGCACTTAATGAGAGCAAACTAATCTCCGGTTCTCTCCAGGGGACATGCGGGTTATCAAGCTGTACCTGAAGTCCAAGGAAACGGGCAAGAAATTTGCCAGTGTCAATTTTGTCTTTTACAACTGCAGCGTCCACCAGTCGTGAGTATTCTTCTAAATGTTCTCTCGTTTCTCTCCCACCGTGTTCCTGATCATGCACTTTCCTCACACTTTTCCTACTCCTGACCCCCTCTGCATCACAAGGCCAGTGCCCCCATATGGGGTTAGGCTACCAAGATCAAGGTTATACATCCGTATGCTATGAAGTCCATGTGTTTTTCTTTTGGAGGGCGCGTTACCTTCTCTTGTTCTTGGCTGTGAGCAGAGGTCAGTGGCCTTTTAGCTGAAGACACAGCCCTAGGGCAGGTTTGGGACGTGGGGCAGGGCAGAAGGGTGGGAAGGTGGGCTGTTGGGGACCTTGGCTCCAGATGGCATTGGTCACATAAGCCCCCTGCGATTCCCTGTGGAGGGTGGAACCAGGCATAGAGAAAGCCGATATTCTCACAGACCCCTCTCAAGACCTGTAACTCAGAAACTCCACCGAGCTCTGAGAAATGGGGTCTTTACTCAGCACTTCTGGTGGGGTCAGACTCTTAATGTTGGCCCCGTAATGACCCTGGGTTCCCATGACAGCAGTGCAATGATCTCTTACTTAAGTGGGAGTCTCCGTTTTCCTAGGTATGCACATGTGTGCGTGTGTGTGGCTCAGTGCTCGGCTTGTGCTCCCTAGGACCTATCGGAGATTTCTTGGATAGGTGCCTTGTGAAGTTTTATCATGTCCATCCTCCTTTACCCCCCCCCCCCCCCAATAACAGTAAGGAATATACACTCACCTAAAGGATTATTAGGAACACCTGTTCAATTTCTCATTAATGCAATTATCTAATCAACCAATCACATGGCAGTTGCTTCAATGCATTTAGGGGTGTGGTCCTGGTCAAGACAATCTCCTGAACTCCAAACTGATTGTCAGAATGGGAAAGAAAGGTGATTTAAGCAATTTTGAGCGTGGCATGGTTGTTGGTGCCAGACGGGCCGGTCTGAGTATTTCACAATCTGCTCAGTGACTGGGATTTTCACGCACAACCATTTCTAGGGTTTACAAAGAATGGTGTGCAAAGGGAAAAACATCCAGTATGCGGCAGTCCTGTGGACGAAAATGCCTTGTTGATGCTAGAGGTCAGAGGAGAATGGGCCGACTGATTCAAGCTGATAGAAGAGCAACTTTGACTGAAATAACCACTCGTTACAACCGAGGTATGCAGCAAAGCATTTGTGAAGCCACAACACGCACAACCTTGAGGCGGATGGGCTACAACAGCAGAAGACCCCACCGGGTACCACTCATCTCCACTACAAATAGGAAAAAGAGGCTACAATTTGCACGAGCTCACCAAAATTGGACAGTTGAAGACTGGAAAAATGTTGCCTGGTCTGATGAGTCTCGATTTCTGTTGAGACATTCAAATGGTAGAGTCAGAATTTGGCGGAAACAGAATGAGAACATGGATCCATCATGCCTTGTTACCACTGTGCAGGCTGGTGGTGGTGGTGTAATGGTGTGGGGGATGTTTTCTTGGCACACTTTATGCCCCTTAGTGCCAATTGGGCATCATTTAAATGCCACGGCCTACCTGAGCATTGTTTCTGACCATGTCCATCCCTTTATGACCACCATGTACCCATCCTCTGATGGCTACTTCCAGCAGGATAATGCACCATGTCACAAAGCTCGAATCATTTCAAATTGGTTTCTTGAACATGACAATGAGTTCACTGTACTAAAATGCCCCCCACAGTCACCAGATCTCAACCCAATAGAGCATCTTTGGGATGTGGTGGAACGGGAGCTTTGTGCCCTGGATGTGCATCCCACAAATCTCCATCAACTGCAAGATACTATCCTATCAATATGGGCCAACATTTCTAAAGAATGCTTTCAGCACCTTGCTGAATCAATGCCACGTAGAATTAAGGCAGTTCTGAAGGCGAAAGGGGGTCAAACACCTTATTAGTATGGTGTTCCTAATAATCCTTTAGGTGAGTGTATGCCCATGTCCATTATTAGACATGTTCATGTTGATTTCGCCCTCACTTTCATGCCGCATCTTTCCAAGAGTGTCTTGTCCTACCTTTTTGGCTTCCATGCGAAGCTAGTTTTGGGATTGAAGAGATATTAGATAAAGTCTGTATCTGATGATTGTAGGGGGCTGTTCGTTGTGTTGTTGCCATGGTACGAATTTCATACCTTTCATAATTTCATCCTGAAGCCACTTACTTGGTTACAAGTTCCTCATACTTTACTTTGATACACTTTGCTTCCTTGGTTACGGGCTCCGCGCACCTTATTTGGTTACATGTTCCACGTTCCTGGTTACGGGTTCCTCCCTTAATCTACGATATTGAGTCGGCCCGTTTGGTGCCGATCTCCTTTGGTTCCTCTGTCATGAGAGACATGGAGAAGGCAGACAAGCAACCACAAGATGCAGAGAAAAAGAGGGAGAGTGTGTTGGTGGTATGGACCCGAGAAATATCACGCAAGCCTGAAAAGGATGTGCCCCCCAGATGGAGAGGTGGAGGGTGTAGCACAGATAGCCTCAGCTGAGGAGGGGATTTGCACAAATCATGCCCTGCACTCTGCATTGGGATCCCAGCTCCCACTGAGGGCCACAGCTGGCTGTCCACCCCCGACCTTGGCATGCATGTGCAGCCAGGGACACCCCCCCCCCCCCCCCAAATTGTAAGTAGCTGTAATAATAAAGAGCTCGCATGGGGAAGTGGGGGCAAGACGAATCACACGGATCACGCATAATTGCAATATCGAGCTTTTGCATTAAAAAAAGGCTGGAGGAACAGCTTAATCGAGCACGCGGCAAGGAGGCTGGAGCGGGGGGAAAGGCAGGCAAGGGAGCCATCACGCCCATTGTGGTGGAATAATAGGTGCCTCAGAGCTTGAAGGGTTAGTGCCCAAGCCGTGGCGAAAAGCTGATTTAAATATGAAAGGTTGAGATGAATGCAGGTTTCCAAACAGCCGACACAATGTGCGCTCCCAGTATAGCCCATCCACTCCAGGCTCAGAGCCACTGGAGATGTGTAATCAACCCTCCACCCTGAGCTGAAGAACGGTCCCCAACCGGTGTTGCGAGGAGGCAGGAGCATGGAGGCCTTAGTGTGCAGAGCGCAACCACAACAAACCCGTATCAGAGGAGGTGTCACGTTGCAGAGAAGCTAATAAATCAGATGTGTCAGCAGGTGCCCCTGTGCTCTGGGCCTGTGGTATGATTGGCTAGTAGAAGCTGGTACTGAAGCTGGTGTGCCATGTTTTTCAAACTGCTTCCACTTTCAAATTGATGCACAGGCCACCGCTGTTGTGTGTTTAGAATGTGCTAGAAGCTGATACCCACATGGCAGTGCTTCAACAGCACACCGTGCAGATATATGTGTGGGTAAGGAGTCTCAGCTCGCTTAGTCACTCCTTGGAATTGTTCCAAACAGTAACCAAAGGATTTTGATGTTTACAAAAAAAGGGTTTATAAAGAGGCCGGTCATTTCATTTGGCTGATGGTGATAGGCCTCCTGTCATGCAGTGAGGTAGAATATCCCACTGTACTGCCTGCTACCTGAGGAGCTTGATTAATCAGTCTGAATGGGGGAAGTTAAATGTCCCAGGGCTGTATCTGCAGTGCTTGTAAATATGCACAAAGATCAGCACCTTTCTTTCTGAAAGCACAACAATTGCTGAAGTGAACGCTTGTTTCAGTTTTGGCTTTTCTCGCACATTTCGAGGTGCTAATCCATGATTCACTTTGAGCCACGAAAAAAGGGAAGGGAGAAGAGATTTGAGGGTTTGGCTTATCTTGCATCCACAGATTATTCTAATGTGACTCTTTAAGTATTTCACGCCTTTCTGGGCAGCCCACTCCAAAAACGGGCTGGGTGGAGGGGTGGAAAATAGAGATTTCCTCTCATCAGGGACCCCCCTAGTCCAACTCACCGGAAGGGGATGAGAGAAAGCGAGGAGGATGGAGTTACTAGAGGTCCTGTTAGAGGTGCTGAAGACAGGCCATGGGGCTCAAACTGGGTGTTAGATGTGTCACTGCCCCTCCGGTCCCCTGGTCCAGTTTGGCTTGTTGTCTTGTGTTACCATGAGGTGTCGACCTGCCTCCTTCACACTGCAGATACGGCACATATGATGCCATCCTGACATGTCTGCTCCTCGCATGCTCAGCTGCAGGGCTGATGCAGACCGCATACCATCCTGACATGTCACAGCTGCAGGGCTGACGTAGACCCCATGCCATCCCGACATGTCTGCGCCCTGCATGCACAGCTGCAGGGCTAACGCAGACCCCATGCCGTCCTGACATGTCTGCGCCCTGCATGCACAGCTGCAGGGCTAACGCAGACCCCATGCTGTCCTGACATGTCTGCCCCCTGCATGCACAGCTGCAGGGCTAACGCAGACCCCATACCGTCCTGACATGTCACAGCTGCAGGGCTAACGCAGACCCCATGCCATCCTGACATGTCTGCTCCCTGCATGCACAGCTACTTCGGTGCATTCGGATAGCACGTAGACGCCCCCTGGGGCCCAAATGTTCAGCTTCTTTAGACACATATAAAAGTTAATTGATCAATTAAGTCGGTCATATGTTTAATTAAGGAAGCTCTCCTGTCCCCAAGGGCTGAATGATATTCCAAATGGTCACTAAATTACTTATTGAACGAATCGCCAGAGCAATTGACCCGAATGGATCCGTCTCGCCGCCTGTGTTGCGTGGCGTTTCGTATCAGGGGAACGCGGCCCGTTATTAGCGCATGTGAATATGCCGCCAAGTCGAATGAGAGCGTGACATATGGCTGCCACCCTCTCCCCCACTTACGAGGACTCCCCGATGTTCTTAGCCGCCTGTATTATATTTCTGTCAATTCAGCCGCATGCTCATGCTGAACCCCAGCCGAAACTGAGGAAGGTCGTCAAACAGCTGCGCCGCATGTGGTCAGCCAGAGAGCCCAGAGTTAGACGCCGCCCCAGACAACATAATAATTGCGCACGGCCCGTCCCCTTTGGTGGCCATTGCCTCTCAACGCCCCCCTCCATCGGAGTGCACAGCGGTTCTTATGATGCAATGGTATTGCGACAAAAAAAAACACCTGGGAGACTAAGACTGACAGTATAAGCAAGCGAGAGAGACAAAGAAGGAGGCAGTGAAAGAAGGCTGCTTTTTTGTGTCTGTACGCGTTCCGTGATGTGATGTGATGTGATGTGATGTGCTCTCTCTGTCTCTGCCACTCCCCCCACCCCCACCCTCACAGCTGCCTTTCATGCGTCAACGGCTCCTTCCCCTGCCACTGGTGCAAGTATCGGCACATGTGCACGCACAACGCCCGGGACTGCTCCTTCCAGGAAGGCCGCGTCAACACGTCTGAGGTCAGTCTGTGCCACCGCCGCCACGTCGGGGGTCCCGCCTGCCTCGTGCCTGTGCCCGCTTTCCTTGTGCCTGTGCCCGTCTCAGTTTGGAAGATGAGGGAGCACCGCTCACAATACGTCACGTGCTGGAATGCGCCTTCTTGCGGCGTGTATCTGGGTCATGCGTGACGGCGTGTCTCACAGCAGAAGGCTGCTGCCAACGCACTGGGCACTTCGTCCCCCTGGCGAATTGACACGTTCTCCTTTTTTGGTCAGAGAGAATGACTATGCAAATTCTGTCTTGTTCTACATTTTCAAATACTACATTACCATAAAAACTAATATCAGTCACATCTCTGCCTCTCTCTGGGGGCCCCCATTTGTAATGCCACGCTAGGGCTGCTCTCTGAGGACTTATCCCCATTTTTGCCTCAACATTCCCTGTCCGTCATATACGCTGATATAAAATGCACCTTTCCATCCAGGTTTTTGTGGTGTGACACGTTAAACTATGGGAGAGACGCCAATGTATACAAGCATGACTGATGTGTGCAATCAGGCTATTTTTTTCTGTATGAAGCCTCATTTCCATCTATCCGTCCATTTTCTGAAACCACTTATCCTATTTAGGGTCGCGGGGGGTCCAGAGCCTATCCCAGAGGCTCCAGGAGCAAGGCAGGGAATTACTCAGGATGGGGCACCAACCCATCACAGGTCACACACACACCTACGGGCAATTTGATGACTCCAGCTAGCCTCAGCATGTTTTTGGACTGTCGGGGGAAACCAGAGCACCTGGTGGAAACCCCATGATGGAGAACATGCAAACTCCACAAACATGGAACCCTGGTGGAGACTTCAACCCAGGTCCTACAGGAGTGAGGCAATAGTACTAGCCATTGGCATTATATTCAAACATATACTAAAAGAATTGGTTTCATGCTCTTTTTTAAGTCCTTGATTGGTCCTGAGGCATTTTCCATCAAAACAACCAAATATTATTGGATTATCTCCCTGCTGTGGCCCAGAACCTGGCCAGTGGTACCCATGCTGAAATGGATAGGCCTCCATAGCTGTGTGAGACCCACACTGCTCCCACATCTCCAGGAATGATACCATGGTGAAGCATGGTGAAGCCTCCACATCTCCAGGAACGATACCATGGTGAAGCATGGTGAAGCCTCCACATCTCCAGGAGCGATACCATGGTGTAGCCTCCATATCTCCACACTGTTTAGGGCAATAGTGGTTGGAAATACCACCTGAAAAAATGCATCACCACCTGCTTGGGCTGGTTCAACATAGCATTACGCAATAAGAGGTAACATTGCCCATCAACCCGTTATCATTACTAAAATAAAATACCCAGTAGTGTTCAGTATATCACATCTCCAGGCAATGTTCAGCAACATATTCAGATCTCAGGCACTTTGTTAGACTATTTCCTACCTCTGAAGAATAAAGTATACTTTGTAAGTTGACTCGTTGTTTCATTAGAAGATATTTTGTTCTGGAGATCTTGCAAATGCAGAGTTATTCCCAGAGTTAGCGGTGGCCGTGTGGTTTCAGCGCCGGTGCTTTCCGGCCGATGCGCGGACGTTCACGTTATCGCCATTTTCTCAGCTCAGCATGAACGCTCCATTTGCAGCTTCTTTTACATTTTTTCTGGTTGTCATGGTAAAACACACACACTGCATACAAGCAGCGATCCTTGTCGGTATCTTGCCATCTGTGGTTCAGTCAGTATACGTAACACTATTATCTATGGGATGCTGCCAATGATTTGGGGGGTGGGCTGCATTTTATGTATGTATGCACAGAAAAGATGTGGTACATAATGAGTAACATTTACAAATCAAATGTATATAAATCATCGTGCCCCTGACAGGTTATAAACAAGGAAACGCATTAAATCCGACCAGGCAGAAAATTACTTGGGTAACGCACACTTCAGAACGCCATCAGGAGAAATTCATAACTAACAAAAAACAAAGCAGTAGAGTGTGGTGTCTCCCGTGCATGACTGTGGCCCGCCGCCGCTGTGCTCTTCTCGCACCGTGGCCTGCTCTCGGACCGGGGTCTGCTCTTCTCGGACCGTGGTCTGCTCTTCTCGGACCGGGGGCTGCTCTTCTCGGACAGTGACCTGCTCCTTTCGGACCGGAGTCTGCTCTTCTCGGCCTCTGCGACGGCAGCGAACGGCCCGGGTTAACAGCCTCCAGCTAGCTTCAAACACCTTTATAACGGACTCTTGGTACAAATGACTGCATCATAATTGCTACTAAAGGCTTGTACATGGAATCAGATCGTATTTCTCCCCAATGCCGCCAATGATGATATACGTGAAGTTAATGCTGGTCAAACCAAACCCCCCCCACCAAGATTGCGGAACCTGGACCTGAGCTCTCATCCTGTTCCCACTGCCAGTGGGCTCCCGCTGTGGTGTACCTGACTCACATTGTCGTTGAAACTCGTATGTCTTGTGTGTTTGTTTTGTGGCAGTTAGAGGTAACATTTTTAGTAGAAGCATTCATCCAAGAGGAGTAACATGATACTGAAGTTGGCAAAACATGTGTGATAATATAGTAATACAGGAATGCTTTAGAAGAAGGGAAGAGTGGTCTCTTAGGCAACACATGGCCGGTTGTTACAACATTATAGTGACGTAACCCATATGTATCTTGGGAAAATAAAAATTTTGTGGCTTGTCATGATCGATTCCAATAGCGCCTCAGCCTTAAGCTCCTCTGACGCTGCTGGCTTGATTCCAGATGTGCGTTGCTGCTTTTGTCATGTGTAACACTGTGTGGGTGTGTGTGTTTTTGTAGTTATTATATAGTGAGGGCCAGATTTCCCCACAGCGTGACAAAGACCTGTCATTTTGACCTTGTGGGGACCACTTTTTTGGTGTGTAAAAATTTGTGAATGCAATCAAAAAAAAGCTTTGTGCATTGTTTGGTTACTTATGGTTAAGGTTAGGGCTGGGTAGGGATTAAGGTTGTCTATTGGGGTTAAAATTAAGCGGGTTTCCATGGAGTGCTATTGCCAAACCCCCCCAAGTGCCCTGTTAATGGCGCGGCTCGTGAACAGTCAGCGTGACGTGTGCTCTCTGCACCCCATCCTCAGCCTCTTCATTCCTGCCAGCTCAGGGGCTCAAGAACATCCCCCCCCCCCCCCCTTCTAGGGGGTTGAAGGAGACGGGGGGGAAAATGATCTTGATCAGTATGTTCATCTTTCAATTTATAACCACTGACAGTGCTTTTGTTTCAAAGATAATAAAGCAGAGATATTTGGATAAAATTGATCTTATTTTCTCTAATTAGACAATGTATCAAAATGGCGAGAGAGCCCTGAGCGGCCATGGGTTCTGTCCCTGCTTCGCCTTTCATTAAGGGAGATGAATGGCTGGGAAACGAGCTCGCTGAGTGAGAAGCCAGCATGCCCCGGCCGTGTTGGGTGCCCGGCCCATCAGCAGGTCACCCCTCCGCTCACGGAAATCCTCTTATAACGTGCGAGTATGTGGAATGTACAGACGTTGCTGTGCTCTGTTCTCCTCCCTGTAGCAGCATAAGACAAATGGGTCTCTTTGTGTATTAATTAGTGGGAGTGAGAGGCTTGTTGGTCTTGCTCATCTTCCGTGTTGAGGTCATTGTAGACCCCATCTCTTGTGTGGTGAGCCATGCATCATAGCCCCCAGCCCCCTCAGGCTCAGGCATGTGCGGTGACCAACTGCAGTCGCCCTTCTTGGGGTTTAATTATTCAAATTGTATTAAATCTTAATTTCCAGATGCCTTTGCGTTTGTCTGCTTAATGGAGGCTAAAGATGGATTTTACATCCGGAGCTGGACGACTCGCCCTCTCTCGCACGTGTGTGTCCTTCAGAGGGCACGGGGCTGCATCTTCATTTTGCTGTGTCAGTCATTTATTTTTAAATTGTGCCATTCAATCCCAAAGTATCTGACATTCTTAGCAAAAAAAAAAAAAAACTCATCCGGATGCGTACCGCCGGAATGCTCTTCATTAGGATGTTACACGGGCAGAGGAGGCGTACAGTACGACTTTCGAGGGTATCGGAATTCACAGATGAGCATTAGCCGTGCATCTTGTGGTAATGTGTAATTTGTGTCCTGGCTGTGTGGGTTTTGCTCCAGGCTGTGTGTGTGCTGCTCTGGTTTGTGTTCCAGGGTAGGTAGATGCTCAAACCCCTTTCATGGTTCAAAGTCCTCTTTTTATTTTGGCGACGGCCTTCTCTGGGGTACCTGTCTGTCCTCTGTCTGGTTCAAACTGGCCCTTCCTTCCTAATGAGATGGGATCCCAATGCCTTGGCCGTTTTGCCAAGCAGATTAGCCAAAAATAACATCATAAGACGATACGGCAGTGATCTTTTGAGTGCATGTGGTTTGTGTGCTGTGTTTGTATGTCCCTTATGAGGTGGGTGCAGTTGGCACGGCTGTCTCTGAAAACATGGCTTTGATGCAGTGGTAGGTTTTCTTCTCCTTTTGGCTGATGCCTGCTCATCCTACATGAGCTTGCATGTGAGCAGCTCATTGGCTAATGCTGGAAATGAACCTCAAACAGGGGATAATGGAATGTGCCCCACCCCCTGACAACATAACTCATCCCTCGCATCTCTGTAATGTAATGGGAGATTGGGTGGGTTGGTTAATATGCAGGAATGCATGGAATGCAACGGCTCTGTCAGGGTGCACGTGGAAAGGTTCTGCGAAGGTCATCTGCCGCGTTCTAGATTTCCTGAAGCTGCAGAGGACACAGAAGGGTTGGGGCTCCTCTGGAGTTGAGCAGCATTCATTCCCATGGCTTCCAGAGAGGAACCCGCTTCTTAGAGGACACCAAAGGCTTCTGTATTTCGACCAGATATGAACTCGAAACAGTGAGCAGTTTAGGGCATTTTGCATCACATAACTGCCATTTTTTTGTTACTATTTTATGCTGCCTTTCAAACCAAAAGAGGCCACTGAATTCTGTATTTAAGCAAAGACCTTATGCCAGGGTTAGCCAATCTTATCCACAAAGGGCCAGTGTGTGTGCGCGTTTTCGCTGCAACTCCCTAATTATATTACTAATTAGAGGACTGATTGGTTGAAGAGTCCTCACACCTGGGTTTGAACAGCTGACCTACAGGTTATCCCAAAAACCTGCATAGACACCGGCCCTTTGCGGATAAGATTGGCCACCCCTGCCCTCTGCTGTCCCCTTCTCCTGGCTAGCTGAGGGGTGGCGGAGGATTCTGTGGGTTGGTGTTTCTGACTTGTGGCTCCCATGCCTGCATCCTGCTTGTTTATTTGCCCTGAGATGTTTTGTGGGTTTTCTTCATGGCCCTTTAGCTTATTAATCATCAGAGTTCTTGACTGAACACTCCTGTAGAGTCATTATTTCGCTTTCAGACCAGTATCCCAGTACGGCCATTTTATTGCGCATTCCTGGTGTTTTCAGATATAGCCTCTGAAATGGTTTCATCTCCATGGAGGCCTCACCTGGTTTGACTGCTCTGGCTGAGTTTTGGGAACCATGAGTTTTGCTGGTTGTAAAGGACAAAGGAGGTTAAATCGGTGTAATGACCCTCACCACTGTCCTCCTTGTTGGAGTCTCAGTGAGGATGAGGTTGAGTGGGAAACATCTGCGAACTGTTCAATTATCATGATGAAGCAAAACAACGGCTGATTTTAAGTGCACTTAGACGTCTGGCCACAAGGCCTCTCATTGGCACGCTTGTCTGCTCGCTGCCCACTCAGACCTGAACATGTTAGCCTGCTGCAAGTACACCAAGCCTTGATGTCACTCTGCACCCCCCCCCCCTCCACCGGCAAGACAGGACCCCACATGGTTTTGCCATCAATGTCATGCAGCAGCTGCACAGTTGTTCAGGAAGCCGGCAGGCCAGAGAAAACATTGAAACATTGAAATGATGAGTTGAAATAGCTGGTTATTGCTCTCAAATTTCAGCTTGAGGGTGTGGATTCGGGGAGATATATGGTCAGTGTACCGGTACTGCAGGTTCCGTGTCGGAGGTGGCGACGGTGGGGGTGCGGAGCGGTTCCCTGCAGGGTGGCCGGTGGCACTGTGGAGGAGGGGGAGGCTGCTGGGCTTCATGACGGACACTTGGCCCAGCTCCCCAGCTGCACACGCTAAGCCGTGAGCCTGGGTTACACAGGTATTAAGGAAATTATGCCCATTATCCATGGAATTTTGCTATGGCCCCCTAAATTTTTCAGTTTACTACATTGCTGATCCCATCTGTCCAGTTTTAATTGGGCTGTTCTCCACCAGCGTTTATGGGAAGGATGATATGGGTAGATCAGTAACAAATGGTCTTGACATATAACTTGGAGGTACTTTCTGGTGTAAATGCAGGATTTAGCTTCACTAAGTCTTAACCAAGCACCCCGGACCATGTCCCAGTCTGAGGTCTTTGATGGGGGGGGGGGCTTTGATGGCCCTTGTAGGGGCTTCCTGTTCCTGTGAGGGATGTGGTGACTCACATTCATCCCAGTGTATAGCTCAGTTTTACCCTGTTTGGTGTCTCTGCCCAGAAGATTGTGTGTTCGAATACTGTGGCAGCCAAAGAAATCGTATCGCTGTAGAGCCTGAAATCAGCCCCAGTTACTCCAGCGATACTGTTGATGTTTTTTACTTGTTCATCGCTTTGGACTAAAGTATCTCCTAAACAAATGTAAAAACCCCTCCTGATCTCATCTGCCAAAAGAATGAACTTTTCTCTGCGACTTTCATGTCGTTCACAACCTGGCTGTTTGGAATCGTCAAGGCAGGGCTGAAGAGCTCTCTGGTGCCTCTGGTGGCCACCGGTGATATGGCTCAATAAAAGTCCTGAAGAGAAACCCAGGGCTGCCCTCTGCCTGTTAGAGGATTTTTAGATTTATTTATTATTTATTATTATTTTTTTTATAAACAAGCTGTCGTTTGAGTGCAGCTTTGTCTTTGAGTTCTCCTTCGGCACTCTGGGCCGTGATGCAGTTTTGGGGACCGAGTACTTGTGCTAACTACCCCTTATCTTATTGGGGTTTTGCTGTTCTTCCTCCTATTCTTTAATTTCAGTCCATACCCATAGCTTGAGGAAGTTAATTAACTCAGTTGTTTATAGAAATTTGTGTTCTACCTGTGTGCAGCTAATCTAGAAACAAAGAGCCGTGTCATAAGCATAGCATTTGCATATCTTACTCTGCTGCTCATGCAAATTGTTCTCCGCCATTCGGGTTCTCAACGAGAGCTTGATTGTGTTATTCGGCATTCAGTCGGTGCCTGGGCCACAAAGTGTATTTTCCTCAATTTCATTACCTGGAATTCCTTGCCTGCCTTCCTATGTAAATTACAATCTTGGTTCGTTAGCCACCCTTAATTTAACACTTTTTTAACAATAACGAGGCGATGAACAAACAGGCAGACCAACCAAAGAGATCCTGCTGGGCTAATAATGATAAAAGGGCCAGTGGTATGGTGGATTCACCCTAATCATTTAGGGTGCAATGAAAACACACATCCAGAAAGGTTCTCCCTCTGTGTTCTCACTGGTCCGCCTTGAGCCCCTTTTGCTCCGCCCACTTCCAGACAGAATTTACATATCTGCTGATCGACAACCTGCAGTGGAGCATAAGTCGCTCGCAAGAACAGGAAGGGGTCGCATGTAAGGTCACATGACACGTGGAAGTTTGTAGGCTAGCAGGATGCTGCAGAGAGCAAGGTAACTGGAGGGCGCGACCCCCCCCTCCCAGTAGATATGTACACACACAGTGAAGCCGGGGGACAATTTGATCACTTCCCATCTGAGCTGCCTTTCAGTCGTTGGCTCGGATGACCTCTATTAGAACACCTCTGAGAGTCAGCGCACCCACTCACCCACATTCCAGCTTTATACTACCTGCTGCCACCAGGACTCAAGCTGTTTCAGGGGGGGTCATGATGACACGTCAGAGCCAGCGCGTGGATATTACGCCTAGCATTCTACAAAGCACGTGTCGGAGAAATCGCAGAGAGGCTTCACAAGAAAAACTGTTTGTGCATGAGATGACCGTTGAATGAGAGAGCAAGAAGGGGTGACGGCTATTTGTTTATTTATATATCAGTCGGCGTCAATGACAATATTTTCACAGACCCAGAAGTCTCCTGTAGGCGGAGGGCGAGATGAATGTGCTGGAAATGGTACAATCTGTCAAAAAAAGAAATCCTATTTCCTTTATTTATCTGCACGTCCACTTAATTTTTCTGCTCCACAGACTGGCTGGAGCAGGCTGTCTCTGCCAAACGCAGGCGACGGGAGTCCGTGGACTGTTCTTCCCACTAAAAATCTGCTCGCTCTCTCTCGCTCTGGCCCGGGAATCATCATCAGCTTTGGCGTGGCAGCGCGTGTGGCGCTGCCAGAATATTTAAGCTGCATAAACACTCTGACGACTCCATTTCTTCTCTTGCGACAGCTCGTTGAGGACGTTCGCCCTGACCTGGGTGGCTCCGCCTCTCGTCTGTCTTCCTGACCCACCCACTTTTGTTATGAAATGGATCTGTCCGTGGTTTTTCCCCGCAAAATACGAAAATGCAGCATTAACTTATTTTCTTCTATTTGACCTCCATCTTTCCGCCGCGACCTAACAGAATGCTCCCTCTCCCCCACCCCCCCAGGACTGCCCCCAGATCCTGCCGTCCACGCAGATCTACATCCCAGTGGGGGTGATGAAACCGATCACGCTGCTGGCTCGCAACCTGCCGCAGCCACAGTCAGGCCAGCGCAACTACGAGTGCATATTCCGCGTCCAAGGCGTGTCGCACAGCGTCACAGCTCTGCGCTTCAACAGCACCAGCATCCAGTGCCAGAAGACTGTGGTGAGTCCCCACCATGCACATGCAAACACACATAACCATAGGGTCCTGCCGTACACACACATGCACACAGGCAGATGCGCAGCTTTGGTGAATCCTTTGTGGAAAAGAGCTTATAGGTTGAGTGGATGGGCAGCAGACATATAGCAAATGTTGTCACCTGTCAGCTGACATGTGTGCGTGTGTGTGCCTGTGCATGCGCGTGTGCCTGTGCATGCTAGTGTGCCTGTGCATGCTAGTGTGCCTGTGCATGCGCGTGTGCCTGTGCATGCTAGTGTGCCTGTGCATGCGCGTGTGCCTGTGCATGCGTGTGTGCATGCGCTTTGTTTTTCTGAAGCCCTGTTTTGCACCTCTTGCCTCAGAAGAATTCTGATGATCTCATCCCATGTTGGATCACGATGAAGTCCTGTATTTAATTATTTGGAGGGGGGGGGGTTTATCACCCTCCCCATTTCTCACACTGACACTGTTCCCCTGGAAAGCCTGCCTGGCTTCTCCCATCTTGTGAAACTTGTTGTTCTGCGTCCAGTAAACTCTGACTAACCAGGGGAGGGTTTGTGTATTTGGGAGTTCGCTCTTTCTGAGTTGCCCGCCCCTCCTCCCCCAGGCAAACTTGTGCTTGAGCAGAGGGATCCGTGATGTTCGCAGTCCACAAAGTCCTTGTGGAGAGTGGTGGGGGGGCGTTTCACTTCAGCGAGGCTGAAAATGTGAAGGGGACGCCCAGCTGTGGGAATTGATCCTTGCTCATACTGCTGGGTGGAGGTTGATGGATTGCTTGTCCTTTGTGGCAGGGCGAGGGGAAAGAAGAAGGTTTTGAGCATGACATTGGACACAATACACAGCCTCTCTGACAAGGATGGATATCTCCTTTCTTTCTTTTTGTCCCCTTTTCAATATCTAAGCTTTACATCTCACTCCGCATCCACAAAATACTCCATTCTACCTTGTGTTACACAGGGGGCAGAGTCATCCATAGCCCTCATGACCTTCTATACCCAGACTAAAAATCTGGCCCCGCAGCCAGCAGTCGGGGCCCCCCCGGCTCCAGAGCGTGAGTCTGTTTTAGCTCGATGTTGTATCGGCTGTCCGCATCAGTCTATGTCACTGAGCACCTTGTTGGGTGCAATGCCGCTAGTCACCAGTAGGTGACGTGTCCCAGCTTGCCGTGTCTTTTCGGCAGTAGCAGGTGTCCCTGAGCTATCTGCACTTTCCCTCCAGTTCTCTTTGTTTGGCAGTCATCCCCGGGAAAATGGGAGGGACCTTGGCATCGCTGGGAGTCAGCCCGCAGCGCCCGCTGTTACGGCCTACCTCTTGTGGACCCCTGAACTTTGAGCCGCCTGGCAGTGTCCGGGGCTGTCTGCTGGCTGGCCTCAAAGCCTTTGTGCCCTGTATCCCAGCAAGACGAGTGCCTGCAGTGACTTCAGGCTGTGGTGTGAGAGGTACAGCTACGAGCTGATGGTCTCCTAAGGCTTCCTATTCCTGTGTTCACAGTACTGATGTTTCCCTTCATTGCCCCCCCCTCCCCCCCAGTGCTGTTGCACCTCTGGCTCCCAGCAGCACTGCGGTCACCCTTTCCGTTAGCTCACCGTGTGTCTGTCCCTGTGCTCAGGCACCTCGCTCAGTCCCGTCAGCATTAATAACATGCGACACACAGCGGAAGGCCACCGACCGCGGCGTTGTCCCGGAAAAGTCCTCTGCAGACACCGGAGGAGAGCCGTCCTGGAGCACACAGCCCTACCTCTGTTACTGAGGGAAAGCGGAAAGAATATACCAGATAAACTGGAGTGTGTGTGTGTGTGTGTGTGTGTCTTGCAAACAGGTAGAGGTGTTCCATGTCATCTGTCTGTTTTTTGGTAACTGACAGGAAGCTTGTCGAACAATTTATGCACTGTGAACTGTAGCATACACTCAGCCTGAATAGCAAACCCTCCCCCCCCCCTCCCATATCTCCCTAATACATCCCCTGGGGACTAAAAGAGGGCGCACACTGCGGGATGTTACTGGGATGTGTGGCTATTATATGCTACATGCTAATACCGATTGTTTATGTTTGTTGGTATGAGCCTGTCTGTTCCTGTCTGTACCTGTCTGTGTATGTCTGTCTGTACCTGTCTGTCTGTTCCTGTCTGTACCTGTCTGTGTATGTCTGTCTGTACCTGTCTGTGTGAGCCTGTCTGTACCTGTCTGTGTATGTCTGTCTGTACCTGTCTGTGTGAGCCTGTCTGTACCTGTCTGTGTGAGCCTGTCTGTACCTGTCTGTACCTGTCTATGTGTGTAATGGTAAGGTACCCACATTCTACTCATGACAGCAGCCCATTTCCACACATGAACCACCTAATCATACAGCTGCAACGTTCCTCAGAACATTGTCCATTTAGAGGCTAAGACGAGTCCAGCTGACTGCGCTCTCAGCCCCCCCCCCCACCACCATTACTCTGGCATCTCTGCTGCTCAGTCTGTCCCATAACAGATGAGAGTGTGCAGGTATTTTGCAATGCTTTCTTGGTGTCTGGGGACTCAGATGCTGGTAATTTATGAACAACCTATAGTAGTTTAGCTAGCCACGCAAGTTTTCTTTTCCTTCTTTCCCTAAGTTAAGGAAACTATGATATATTAAAATTAAATAACCAGCTCCTCTCAGAGCATCAAGCTAAAATGGACAAAGGTTTTCTATCTTGCCGCGGTGGCTGCTTTGAGCAGGGAGGGGCCCTTTTGTGAGGCTCGGGTGGCAGCGGCTGTGCTCATGTTGAGCAATTCGGTTGCATCAACGGATTTGGTTGCATGAAGGTGGAAAACGCCATTGGTAGCATGTGGCATTGGTGCAGGTGAGTGGCACCTCGGCCTGGCGTGTCGTGGCCCCTGCGACAGCGTACTGTCCTCCCTCTTTGTTAGCTGTCAGTTTCCTCGCTCACCTCCTCATTCTGGCTGATGGAACCAGGCGTCTCCTGCATGTGGAGAAAATCGGGAAGTGGGTCTCAATGGAAATGTGCTAGGTCGGTTTGAGGGGGAGGGGAGGTCGGTTTGAGAGGGAGGGGCTCAATACATCTGCCTCACATCCCGCTTCCTTTGGGGGGGGGTCATCTGGGGAGCTGCACCAAATGAGTCGAAGGTAAGAGAGTGGACAGATAACACGGAGGACTCCCCATTACCTTACCCATAGATAAATGGCCTCTTCCTTTGTCTCCTTTTTCCATCTGCTGAAAAATATAATTAAATAAGTAAGTAAGTATAAATAAATAAGCAGCAGGAAAGGGGAGGATGGGGGGGGGGGTCCTCGATGAGAAGCTCTTGGTCTTTTTTTAAGCAGGAGAGTTTGAAGGTGACTGATTAATGACACAGCAGACTAAAGGATAATGAATAGCAGCTGTGAAGAGCGGCCTTTCAGAGGAGAGAGGCAGCCAGCCACACCTGGAAGCAGGAAGGGTGCTGAGTGGGAAGACAGCCTGCACTGTCTATGCTCTCCCAGCAGTGCCAGGACAGAGTGTTGTGGTTCCTATGGCATATAATGGTCAGGTTGTGCAGCATTTACAGGTAGATAGAGTCCATTGAAGGGATTTGGGCTGAGTAACTCATTTGAAGGTACAACAGCAGGTCCCTTGCTGACTTTGGCCTGAATCAGGTTATCATCGGCCACGCTTCCTGATTCCCGTGTTATTTGTCTCTTAATGGCTGGAGGTTATATCTTAGGATGGGCCGTTGAAAGTGCACAGGTCATTAAGCCTGTGCGGGTGGTTTTGTTGGGTTTTCATAGGCAATATCCACTCTGGAGACCTCATTACACTTTCCTTATGCCAGGAAGCTGTGTCTTACACATGCTTCACCTAGAAGGATGCGTTGGCCTCCCCTATCGGTCATCTAAGCTTGATATATGCTCCGTCAGTTGAGGTCGATCCACTGCTATCTTGATACCTGAGATACTGGTGATTAAGAAAAGCCTCTGTAAAAAACCTGCGTCTCTGGCTGTCACTCCGCATTGCCGCTCCGATACTCAGGATGCAATGCATGGAGAACCCGGCTAATTAGAGATGTTAAATAGTCGTCATGCGTGACTGCCTTCCCGAAACAGAGAAATATGCTGCTTTGCACTTCGACGGCGTGCGTGTTTTAATTGGATGTTAATTAGATCGCTCTCGCTGAGCCGTAGCTGCTCCGTCCCCTTCGGCTGGCAGCGGCACCTTCCCTCACTGCCCTTCTTGGTCTCCCTGTAAGACACGCTGCTGATGCGCCCCCCCTTGTCATTTCTGGGCTGCTGAAGTTTGCCCCCCTGTTGCAGGACACAGAGGCGCTCACATCTACACAGCTTCTGTTGGGGGGGTACACCAATTTTTTGCATGCCTCCCAGTCTCCATGCAGCGTGGATAAAACGATGGCAGACAGTCTAGTGGAGAGTTTTTGCTCACTGGCAGCTCTTGTTACCGAGCATTGGGGGGGGGGGGGGATGCGTGAACTGACACGCTTTTGCAGTCTTTCTTTGCTGTATTTCTCTTTTATTAGCCAATAGCCACTGATAATCCCTTAACTTGCTTCCCGTAATTGATGCCCGTTAAAAATCCTGTTGAATCTCTGTAATTCCATAGCGCTTCTCATTGTGCTGAGGCATTAATTCAATCCTGCTTGACCCCCCATGTTAATCCTGCATGGGATTACTGGATGGCCCTCCCTTCACAAGCTTCCTGTATGCGTGTGTGTGTGTGTGTGTGTGTGTGTGTGCGTGCAAGCATGCGTGTGTGTGCGTGCCCGCCCGCCCGCCCCTATTCGGCGCTCAGCTTCGGCCAGCTTCGCCGCATTCGCCGCTACACCGCCACCAGTAAATAAACAAGCGAATGAAAGGCTCCAAGCTGCTTCAGAACTTTTTCCGAACTTGTCAGAAGCAGAGGCGGCTCACAGGGCCGGGCTTCCCTGCGGCTGGTGCCTTAGCGAGAGCCGAGCGCTGGTCCTGACACATTTCTACAAAGGAACAGCTCTTGGCTGCTCAAGAGGAATTCTGTACATTTATCCCTTTATATATACGGCAGCATAGACAAAGTAACGGGCCTCAAACGGCTCCCTTCTATCTAGCCCCATTCGCGAGACATTAACCAAAATTTACCTGAACAAATAATTTAGGCAGACAGCTAAACCACATATATAAAGGCAGGACTGACAGTGTCGCCGTGGGACAGCCAAATCAAACAAGGAGGGCTGGCTTTATGTTTGACTGCTATTTCTAAATAACAGCCCCGTCGTCCTCTCATGTGTAGCCTGCTGTGAGGGGGTGTGGGGGTGTGGGGGCGCCCCCTGTTGGAGCTGGGTGGATACAGAGAAGCTAGCCCAATGCTATTTTTAGCTGTTGGATCAGGTATTCCTTCAAAATGACTAATTATCTGCGTACGACGTGCGTGAAAGGGCACCCCCCCCCCCCCCGGCCCCTCCCTTCTCTCTCTCTGAGGTGCTGCTTTGTGCACTTTTCGGCACTTTTCCACTGAGAGGATTCAGGGTCTCTATTTTTTTTCTTTTATGCTTGCCTTGTATTTTTGCCCCCGCCCCCCATCCCATTCCCTTCCCTCTCCTTACCTCATCCATGATCTATAGGGCTGTCACAACGGGTAGGGGGGGAGGAGGGGCCAAGGTGCACACTTTCCTTTCCTGAGCCTCACTAATTGTTCAGTCCACACTCTCTGTTTCCAGTATCCCTTTACTGTTCATGGCGGCTGGGACATTTTCGCTTGGCCAAGCTGCCTCAGTCTTGAGTCGGTCGCTTTTCCAGTTTTGATTGGGACACAAATCCCAGTTTCCGCTCTCCTGGCACAGTCCACTCACAGTGCCGTGAAATGCGCCTGCCTCCGCGCGCTGCCCGATGTGGAGAGAGCAGCCGTGGTACTTTAGGGCCCCCTGAGCAGCTGGACTGAGCATGTTCTGAGTTTGCAGTTCAGTACGGGGGGGGGGCGGCTGTGGGTCTTCTGTCGCGTCAGATCTCTGCATAGTTTTAGCACCTGGCAGACACACATTTTCTGGTTCATAGTGGAACGAAGCGCCACGTACAAAAGGTACTATATTCCTCAGAAATGGATTTTCTGTCACTCTCCATGCGACTGTGTTACTCTGGATTGGACGTTTTTGCCAGTCACCCCTGTCCTTGGAGAATGTAATAGCCCCAGAGCCCTAAGAACAGACCTGTCTGTGGGAAGGAGGTGCATTTAAGGTGATCTTTTGACTGCAGATGAGGAGGGTGTTTTAAGGACGTCCAGGGCGTGTTTCGGGTCAGTCTGCTCTATAGGCTCTACAGTGCTTCTCTTTATACCCCAGCGCCATGTGACACAAGCCAGCGAGAGGATGGTGCGTGAATATTCATCACGTCCCAGCCGGCTTTTATCTCTGTGAGTGACTTTGCTTATTTTCCTCTTTTTCATTTGACCTGTACTAGGCTAGGAAACCTTTAATCTTGGCTGGTGCAATAACCAATATGGACCACGCAGTAATGGAAGAGAAGAGTTTAGGTGGGTTCGGAAAATTGTGCGACATGAATCGAATTAATCACGAACTTGCTATGTTCATGTCTTCACATGGGCGTGCTGATGGTAGGGGAGGCTGGGGTCCCGCCCTGCCTCTGGAAGGTCAGCTTTTTCTGGACAGCCACCCAGAGCACTGGGCTCTGGAGCTTACCAATAGTGGTGGGTGGGGTCACACGCACACCCAGTGGTCCTGAGTGAATCTGATAGCATAGCTGCTACGCTGAGACTCCCAAACCCGCCTGGGGGCCTCCTAACAAAATGATAGGAGGAGAGAAATTTCCCTGTGAATTTTGTTAGTTTTTCCCCCTTTTTCCCCCAGAGTAGCAATAAGCCTGAAGTATCAGCCACTGTCAAGCATTTAAGCTGCCAAGATACGCGTGCCGTTCTTTGTGCGCACGTCCCGCAGCCGAAAGAGCCCCTTCGTGGCCTGGAGGGGCCCCGGCCTGCCCCCGGCCGGCCACTGGGTGGGGGCAAGGGCAACACACAAAGGGCGCCGATGAGACGTGTCAGAGAGCAAATTGAAAATGCCAATTTCACTTACTGCTTGGCATCGCTCCTCGCGCCCGGCTTCTGCCACTTATTTCATGTGTAAATGAATGGCCTCCAGTCTGTAATTGGTATTTGCCAGCCGTCTCTCCTCTTCCTCCTGTCGCTTCCTCGCCTCGGCGCTCCCACTATCTCGCCTCGCGCCGCTCCATGGAACGCTGCCTGTTTCGTTGGGTCTTGAAGCTCGAAAGAGCCACGTCCGCCTGATTTCAGGATATTTATACGTGCTGTACGTGCTCTTGGCGCAGCCGTGGTTAAGGGATCTGGCGCCACAACTGCAGACTCCCTTCCCCAGGCATAATCTTCGGCTCCCTGTCTGTTTAGTTTGATTCCTTTAAGGCATGTGCACCGCTGTAAATATTTACCGGAAGGTTTCCGGTTTCGGCTTGGCCCGCTGGCGTGACCGGCGGCAGGAGCCTGAGAGCCCGACTCTTCGCTGTGTGCAGTCTTCGGTGTGTCGGTGGCGAATTTCCCGAAGCACCTGCCATGCAAATAAATAATGTGGCATAATTGGATTCCCTGCCTTTGGACGTAAGAAATGGATCGCAAGATGGGATGAAGGAGAGGGAGCTTTGAAGGGGAGCAAAAGGAGCAGAAATAGATGGAGTTAATTTCCGGGGTGAGTAATGGCAGGATTAATGATGCAGGCCTGTGCCGGGTGTGCATTGGGGTGGGGGCTGTATACCTACAGGCCTCGCTGGTGGCTCCCCGGGCATCGGACGCTGCATGGCTGCCCTTCTGCTGCGTGGCTGCCCTTCTGCTGCGTGACTGTGTGTCTGCTTTGCTCATTCGGATCAGCTGATAGCTTTTGCTCTTTTCTGGAGTATCATGCAGGCATAAAGTGCACCAAAAGCATTGCCGCTGGGGACGGGGGGGGGCCTTGGCCTTTCTGCTGCAGTGTTAATTGCACCAGGCAGTTATGCATGCAAGCAAATTCCTGTTCTACATACGCATCCCTCTGCACTTTATAGGTTTCAAATCAAATTTTGATGGGGTGGGGGTTGAGGGAGGGGGGATGTTCTTGTTTCTAATCTCAGTTTCAGTTAGGGTTTGGGTATGGATTCTAATGTGTGTTTGAGGGTGGGGGTCTTGAGTGCCAAATGTCTGAGACAACTGTTCATCTTCTGCATTAGAAGTATTTAGATGTCATTTGTGGAAAAGCCTAATTGTAGACTGAATACCTGCATAAAATTATAGGCAAGCACAGATCCTGGTAGACTGGACTGTCACCCAGGCATCCAGACTCTCAGAACAGGTTCTGCTCTCTGACACACACTGGCATGAATGGATCATACACAAACCTGCCCAATCACAGAAATGTTAATGGTGCCTCAGATGTGAACTAAAACATCTATTTTTTTTTCCTCTCAGTATGACTATGAGGGCAATGACATCAGCGACCTGCCAGTTGACCTATCAGTGGTGTGGAATGGAAACTTTGCCATCGACAATCCATACAACATCCAAGGTAACTGGTCCTGCTCTTCCTCTCCTTTCCCAGTGCCGCCCATCGTCTCGCTGCTGCAAGCTCACTGGGCATCACACCTGTCACCACAGCACGGTCCATCGCGAGCATGCCTGCCGTCGGTGTCACATGTCGCCAGATGACTGACTCTGCCTGGTGGCTTCAGAAATGCTTTCTCATGTTTGTAGTTAGTTCAACATGCTCTGAAGAAACCTGGCTGGGAGTTTTACAGAGTGAAAAAATAAGAGAAAAAATCCCCAGGAAACAGCTTGAAGTTCTGAACGTTTGGTGCATGAATAATATGTAAAACCCTCTTTCTGCTACTTGCTGGCCATCTAGGGATGGATAAATGTCACCAGAGGAGGATTCTGGGACTCTTATGAATGCAAGCTGTCATGGCTGTGTAGGGTGAAGGGCTTGGAAAGTCCTCAGTCATGTCCTGTCAGGGTATTAGTGTTATCCAGAAAGTGCCGCTCACACAGTCTTCTGCCACAAGCTGAGAGGGACAGATGCGCATCCCTTCAACCAGGCCGTGGCGTTTCAGAGCGGATGCTGCATCCTGTCACAGAATGCACCAGGAAAAAAATGACGATGACTGAAGCTTACATCCTAAATTGCATCTGATCTGATTTGTTTTCCTTTTTCATAGTGAGTGGGATTTAGCGTGACGTGAAACAAGCAAGGCCTTAGTCTGCAGTGATTATACCGAATGAAGATGGACTATATCAGCCGCAGTGGTGTTACCAAATACAGCCCGTTAGCTAGTCTGCAGGGTCATAAGGGTCAGTGTAGCACTGTGTAGCCTAACCATGCCAGCTTAACAGGTAGACAGTTAGGGTTAGAGATGCTCTGAGGCAGAAGTACGTGAAGGAGAATGAAGGTGGGGAATTGTGTGACTCTTAGAAGCATGTA